TCGGTTTTGGGGTGTGACAGATTGTTATATGGCTTGTTGAAAGGATGGTTGTATTTCAAGTAAAGTAAGGCAAACTCATGTGGGAAGCAGAGTTCGGAGTCCATTTCATTAGAGTTAAGCTCACCCATTTGTTGATATTTGTTAGAGGTAGGAGCAGGTATGGTTGGAGGTGATGGTTAAACTGGAGGAATATGAGGAATTGCAGCAGAGAAAGGGTCCAAAACAATAATGTTTGGGGTTTGTGGGTCTTAGGAACTAACTAGAGCTAGAAGAACTCAAATGAGTTCACGCAGGTTTTGTGCAACATTTGATTCATGACCTTGAAGCTCATGGAAAAGTTGGTAAAGCTTCAACTTTTTCAGAGATCCGCCGCTCTAGAGACATGATTTCACATTTCCCGTCCCTTTCTGACACTGTTAATAATCTTGAGGTTGTATTCAACTGGGGTTCGAGTTATTCCATGAGCAGTCATGTTGTTGACAACGATTCGGTATCTGTTTGAAGCAGAGGCAACAGATTCACCAGGTGTTGTAGTGAAAGTGCTGAACTCATTGACTACTGAGGTCAGTCACTTTTCCTTCATGTTTTCTAACCCTTCGAACAGATTTTGAAGTGTGTCCCAAATATCTTTGCGGACTTGCACAGTTTGATGTGCTCAAACAGAGAAGATGGAACTCCAAACACCATTTCGGAAAAAGCAACTTGATCTGCATGCAGCTTTTCAAGATCATCAGTAGTGAGAGGTGCTTGTCGTTGTTGATTCTTTCCCAAGAGAGTTGCAACAGCATCTCTAACAATGGATCGAACTATAACATGAGGACCTTCTTTAACAAATCTCCAGATAAATTCATCTTTTTCTTTTCCAAGTAAAAATCTTTATATTCTAACTTTCCAATGACCATACTCTTCAACAACTAGCAGTGGGGCATATGAATGGAAACCCACACTATTTTTTATTTGCATTGAATACATTTTTTGAGTGTTGGAAGCAACCATTGAAGTTAAGATATCTTGAGCAAAAGTGGTATATTGAAGAACTTTTATCCTGAACACAGAAACGATCGAAATACCAAGCTAATATCGAATCAACTATAATATGTTCTTATGGATTCAAAGGACAACGACTCAAACTCTGATACCAATTGTGAAGATAGGGATCTGATTGCACAGGGACAAGGTTTGAAAACTCAAACATTGAGTTAATGCTTAAGATCAATGTCTGCTACTAAATGAATGTTCAAGTCAATTCTGGTATGACCAGTCAATACATGAAGTTAGAGATTCAACAAAGTATTCAATTCATGAATAAAGCTAGAAGTTAGTGATCAAGGTAAAGAAAGCAAATGAACAAGAAGATTGTTTAAAAATGTGATTTGAGAGAAAGGTGTAATTGAAGTAAATGTGAGAATATCTATCTTTGGTGGAACAATTTGTCTTTTGTTTTGTCATCTAATTCTCCTTAAATAGGAGAACAAGTTACAGTATTAACCAAAATCATACATAGAACCGGATAATAGAGTTACTCCTGACAGACTAATTATCTAAGTTGACAAAGGATATTAAGTCCTATGATATGTTACATCAAACTAAATGAAAAACGTAAGTAATACAGACGAATAAACTGATTCGGATATACACCAATTCGGAACATTAACACTTGAACATTTTCTTTATTCTGGACACCAATTTGACTTTGTAACATAGGCTGACTACGGAATATCATTCACATCGGAAAAAACTAACTCCAGAACATCCAAAAGATAGAGATTTCTAGAGGTTCACTTTCCGGTTCAAATAAAAGACTCGTGTACTGTGTAATTGTATATCTCTCTATATCTTCATCTTTGAACAAAAACATTGTAATCTTTTGATTCTTGTTCTTCCCAACAAATACAAATCCCATCGGCTTAACACAAATCTTCCCATCTTCAAAATTCTTAAGAATTACTTAACCCTTTAACAATGATTGGGGCACTGTCACATGTTATCACACCCCGAAACCGAAGGCGGAAACGTCTCGGGGCGGAGGTGACTTCATGAGAATCATAACCAATGTACATAGTAAGCGAAGTAAAACACAAACATAAATATTACATAGATTTCATTACATCAGTTGAAAAGTAAAGTAGTACAAGTTTTCATAGATACATAGTTTCAACAAAAGACAGACGAATCTTCTATGCATTCCGTCTTCGCCAAAAGAGATCATCGGGTACCTGTCTAAAGCAGACCTGAGAATACAAGCAGTTTGAAAATCAGCATAAAGCTGGTGAGTTCATAAAATGTTTACTTTGTGAAAATGTACGAGTTTCCTTTAGTTTACCGAAAAGTTATTATCCAAGAAAATCCTATATTTTCTTAAAAGAGAAGTTTGATTGATTGCTAGGTTACACGGTTCTGGTTGTTTATCTATGATTTTAGGAAAGTCCCATACTTTCCTTATTGTATATTACAATTGTAAAAGATGTAATGTTATTCAGTTTGTTACTATTTCTAGTTATATAAGTGTTACCCAGGAAAGCCCATGCTTTCCTGCATGTTGGTTTCTAATGTGAACGATGTTAAAGATGTAAAAGATGTACATGTGATTAAGTAATGTTATGTTTTCCCCAGGAAAGTCCCGTACTTTCCTAAAGTAAATGTTAGTTATTGAACTTCGATATACTGATTTATTTCTTTTCGTACCTATTGTATTAACTAGGTATTCTGAAAGTCTAATGGTATTATCTTGGAGTATACTAGATACATATCTTCATATTCGTGTTCTTATTCTTAAACATATTCTTGTACTTATTCGTGTTCGTATTTGTGTTCGTTACTGTATTCGTTTCCTTATTCCTATTCCTATTACTATTCGTATTCGTATTCGTATTCGCAGTCGTATTCGTAGTCGCATTCCTATCCCTAATCCTACTCCTAATACTATTCGTATTCGTATTCGTATTCGCAGTCGTATTCGTATTCGCAGTCGTATTCGTAGTCGCATTCCTATCCCTAATCCTACTCCTAATACTATTCATATTCGTATTCGTATTCGCAGTCGTATTCGTATTCGCAGTCGTATTCATATTCGTTTTGTTCCTAATTATAGTTTTGTATTCGTTCTAATCCTAGTTATAGCTTCGTATTCGTATTCGTATTCGTAATTAGTTATAAATGGAAATTAGTATAAGTTATTCTTAGATTATGAAACATAGTTTAGATTAGAACATTTTACCGAGAAATCTATGATTAGTTTGAAAGCTAAATTCGTAATTCGAACTACTTGATAAACACAGTTATTGATATTAGAACATACAGAATGAAAATGATTAAACTGAAAACAATAAGTTTGAGTACAAGATTTCCTTGTACTTTTGCTTGTATTCCCCCCTGAAAACAGTGAAAACAGTTGAAAAAGGGTAGGGGTATGAACTCACCGGACGCGGAAAGTGTCGAATGGGATGCTAAACGTCGAACCGAGGCTTGAATACGAGCGAGGTTCCTATGTAATATTAAATAATACACAATATATATCTAATTAGATTTAAATAACTAATTAGATACACTTGAACAATCTAAGACGCGAAAACACTCCAAAATGGTCGTTTGAAGTGACCCGGGTGGCGTTTTAGGACATGAATGGCTAGGACTTAGAGTTTATTCTTCAAAGGTAAACTCTTAGGGAGTGTTTACGGCCTAAACACCACATCCCCATGAGTTTACGGCCGTAAACTCATGGTAGGTGTTTTTATGAGGAAAATGGCCTTAAATCAAATAATGGGTGTTGCTAGGTTTGGCTTTTGGACATTTGAAAGGGATTAAATCATTATATGGATTAATAGAAGAGTTTATGGCTGTAAACTAAGAGTTTACGGCCGTAAACTCTTACCCACATCCATCTAAATTAATTTGAAGGCCAAGGATTAATCACATGTGATTCAACTAATTTTTACAAGGCTTAGGGTGAGTTTAGGGCTTCAAATGACATACATCTATGAGTTTACGGCCCAGGAGCATATGCTCTGGCCGTAAACTCTCAATTAGAGGGTTTATGATGTGTTTAAGGCTTCTAAACTATTTTTGGTTGGTTCCCTAATTTATTCCAAGGCTTTTGGTGGTGTTGGATGGCATTCTAACACCTTAGAAGTGATTTTATACCCATGTTTGAGGAGTTTACGGCCCAAGCATATGCCTTGGCCGTAAACTCATATAAACCTCTCAAAATTGATGTTTAATGAGTTCCAAGTCCATTACATAATTTCTAAAAATCATAACTAGGGCTTGATTGAGTTTAGGGAGGGTTTAAGGGCTTAAAACCCCTTTAAATGTGAGTTTACGGCCTAGGCACCTTCAATGGCCGTAAACTCATACACAATGCTTCAAGTTATAGTTTAAGGCATTCTAAGTCCATTCCATAAAGTCATTTAGCCATGTCTAAGGTCCATTTGAGGTTTGCAAGGGTTTTGTTGCTCTAAAAACCCCATTTTCTTGAGTTTACGGCCTAGTACTGTTCTAGGGCCGTAAACTCATAATAATGGTCCTAATCAAATGTTCAAACTCGAATTCTAAAGCTAGAGAGGTTGTACAACAAGTTATGGAAGGTACCTCAAAGATTTGGAGCCTTAAATTGATAATTTGGACCCTTAACTTTGGATTTAGGAGAGAGGTTAGAGAGAGAGTAGAGAGAGGAAGAAAAAGCTTCAAATGGGTGCTTAAACATGTTTATATAGGTCCAAAAACTTGGACACGGTGGAATTCTACCCGATACTGACCTTAAAGGGGATTTTGGTCGCACCCGATTAAGTTGTTGTTACGCGATATGGTCGAAACTATAATTTTTCAAATTACTAGTTCGGGACGTTTTCACATTTTTCCAACATGTTTTGATACTTACCAAGTCAAAATAAAGGTTTTAACTTAATTAACCTAATTCAGGACGAATTCGGAACAATTCGTTTAAGACGGGTTTTGACAGAACGGTTACGGCGAGGAAGCAAAGTTTCGGGTTGTTACACATGTTAACCCATTGCCAAAGCAAGCTCCACATCAGTCAAAGCTTGACTATCATAGTAATTGTATTTGAACAGCTTGATATGAGCAAAACTTAACAAGAAATCTTCTTTTCTATTAACTTGAAGTTTCAACACATCAACACTACTCAAGATATTCGCAACACAGATGATATCATTAAGATTCATCAGAGGAAAATCTACCACTGAGAAATCACATACAACATTGTTAGCTCGAACCACATGATAATGAAAGTTCTGTAACAACCCTTCAAACAATTTATCATGGGATACACTCAAATCTTTAACAATTTTCACTAAGGACCAGACCTCATCTTCCTTATTTACAAGGACTGCATGAAATTTGAACTTTAATCTCTTGTATTCTTCCTTTCCATCAAACTTATCCACCGACTGATATTGAGCTGAGATAAACATCATACGATTGATGGGAAAATCCAACTTATTGAAATTAGAATTTTTTATCTCATAACTCTTTTTCGGAATTTTCTCAAAATCATACATATTCCCAAGAGAAACAATATGATTAATTGTCTCATAAGAATAGTGCTTGGTTGAATCTCCTTTATCAAGACCTGGTGGATCACCTTGCCTTTTTCTCAAGATGTTTCTAATCTGTGTTTGTCTTCCGGTTTCTTTCTCAACATTCTTGTTTTTCTCCTCCTACGAAATCTCATTCACAATACCCTTTCCTCTATCATCTTTAACTTCATTCGAAGGTGGTGCCTTCAAACTCGAACCTCCAGTAGTAGAACCAATAATTATACATTTGGTTAATGGCTTCGAATTCATTGTGGTTAAGGTTGTTGACATAGAAGTAGGAAGTGATGTTGGAATTTGCGTGCTTATCAGCTTCCCAACAACCTTTCCTTGGTCATTATCCTTCGATGATCCAACCCCATTATCTCCCCCTTGCACCACTGGTTTGACAGGTGGGGCATCCGTTGGCATCAAATTAACAAGTTTTAGGAGAGGATCAACTTCAACCTTCAGATTAGTTCCTAAAGAAGAAAACATTTGTGATAAAGACTCCTGAGAAACATAGGATTTAGGAGAATTATCAACCTTCAAAATCGACTCCTTTAAGCTCACCAAAAATTCTCCCAACGTGGCAAACACCTTCGAATCAGACTTTGTCTTAGAATCAACCATAGTAGAAAGTGAATAGAAATAATCCAAAACCTTCGTATAGCTTCAGCAATTACATCAACCTTGGTTTGAAGAGTTGAATAAATACGATCAAGTTTGGCAACCTCCTTTGGCATTTCAGATTTGATCTCTACCACTTTAATAGTGACAGACTCTTGAACCTTCTTTACTTCTTCAACAAAAAGAATATGGCTTTCTTTTTCTACATCATGAAGCTTCTTGACTTCAAACTCAAATTTGCTTGCATGGAGTTTCAAACAATCTTCGTGTTGTTTTTCAATATTTTCCTTGGACAACTTCAACCGATGCTCTTGTTATTTAAGCATCATATCAACCTAAATCCCAGAAACATTATCTCGACCACCATTATCAGCCTGAATCTGTAACAATGAATTCAACTTGTGATTTAACATCTTGAACTGCTTCCTGACATAAGCATATGATCAAGAATGTTGTTCTCCTCTGGGTCGAACTGGATCTCAATAAAAGAGACCATCACATCATCTTCATCATAATTTTCTTCGGGAACTGAATTTTCAACCTCGGTTAATTAAGAAGAGAATGGAGAAGTAATGTGTTGATTCATGATATTAGAATAAGTAGGTGATATATTTGAAGTAGGTAACGAAGTGGGATTAGGTGTATGAAATGGTGGTAAGGAAGTAGAAGTGTCAATAATTGTAGTTTTAATTGTGGATGTTAAAATAAGGAAAATTGAATAGATGAAGTTGCAACAGAAGTGTTACCCTGAGCTTCGAAAGTCAACATCCCATCACCCTTGTTGACATTGTTTTCCATATTTGTAACACCGTAAATTTCAAAACAAAATTTTCAATTTTTATAAATCATAATTCCATCAATATTCATAAAAACAACCATTTTAATTATCCAAACAAGACAATACAAAATCCCAAGATCATAATATCAAGCTCCGAACGTGTGTGTGTACGGATCAAGCCGGCGCCTTCCCGCGGTCGTCACTAGTACCTGAAACAATAACATCAAACACTGTAAGCACAAGGCTTAGTGAGTTCCCCAAAATACCACATACAACACATATTAGCCACTCTAGGCTATAACTCTGTGGGTCCGTGCACCCAAACTCTGTGAACCCTCAGGTTCTAGCTCTGATAGACATGCACCACATAAATCACATAGAAATAATGCAGTACAACACATAACATACATAGCATACAAATACTCTATCACATAACTCTGGTTACCTACTCAAGGTAAAGTATAGTGAGAAGACTCACCTCGTGTGTCTCGGTAAATCGTAAACCTGAAATCGCTAATCACTCGATCTGTCGAGCTGTAGTTCCCAATAGCACAATACATCCCTAATTAACACTTTCCCAACTAGGGTTGACCACACTATAACAAGTCAATTTAGGTCAACGCTGGTCAACGGTCAACGGTCAACTTTGACCGGACTCGGCGAGTGCGCTATAGCGACTCGGCGAGTCTGAGCGTATACACCAATTTCCCTGGAATCCTCCCTTGACACGTCGAGCATTCACTCAACTCGACGAGTTCCACCTGGCATGATTTGTGGGGCCACCACGACTCAACTCGCCGAGTCTCAAGAACAACTCGGCGAGTCCAGTTTGACTCAGTCCACCGGTCCATTCTGACTCCCCCCTTGACTCACTGAGTCCACCCTCCCCAACTCGGCAAGACCACTCACTGTGTGGTCGGGGAACATTCATGCTACTCGCCGAGTCTGTTCTTTAGACTCGGCGAGTCCGTGCCATGCAATGACTCAATCTTGCTCATAAGGTCAGATCCAGTCCATTAATCCATAGATCCAGTCCCTCCAAGCTCATTTAGCACATAAAGTTACAATCTTGATGCACATACAACCTCTATTTGACCATATATGATGTTTTTGACTCAAATACCACAACACAAGGTCCTAGGCTCCATTGATATACATAAAGCTTGATGAGTGAGGCTCTCTGGACCTCTATGGATCCAGATCCATAACCTCAACACAAGGAGGGAACCATTGGGCATCAAATCATCCCATAAATGACCATAATAAGCCCTAAATCGCATAATGCTTCACCAAACAGAATATGGACTGAAATCATACCTCTAGATTGATGATCTAAGCTCCAAATCCACGAAATAGTAGCCTCATTTGCTTCCTGTTGCCCAGAATCTCCTTCTTCTTTTCTAAATGGCACACACAAGGTCAAGAAATGCTCCTCTCTCTCCACAATCACTCAAGAACACAAGGGTCTCTCTCTAAGGGTTGGGTGAGCACAGATGACGGCCATAAGGCCCTTTAAATAGGCCTCAAGCCCGGGATTTTAGGGTTTCTCTACACAGTGCAGACTTGCCGAGTCCATATCCTGGACTCGCCGAGTCCAGGCGCGATCCATTGACCAATTCCGCGTCCCTACTCGGCGAGTCTGAGCTCCAACTCGCCGAGTCCCCCTCACAGTTCAACAAAATTAAATTTACAAGATACCTGGTAAAATCCGGATGTTACAATATTAGATATGCTCACATGGATGCCTAAAGTTCTAACCTCCTCCAAAACGGCTTTATCCATCGAAACTTCGGGTGGTATGACTACTGTCTTCTCAAGGATGGAAGTAATTGAAGGATCACCTGAAGTAGTGTGTGTGTGTGTGTGTGTGTATGCATTAGATACTTTCACGAAGCCACCTAGACTTCCAGTCGCCTCAAAATTTGACTTGACTGGAGAGTCCCTCTTAGGTGATGTGAAGCCAATATTTGTAGTGCGCATAGGAGATTTATCACTACCATCTTTGAAATCAGTCTCTAGAACAACCTCATCCTGAGGATCTTCCAGTTGCTTCTTCTTCTTCTTCTTCTTCTTCTTCTTCTTCTTCTTCTTCTTCTTCTTCTTCTTCTTCTTCTTCTTCTTCTTCTTCTTCTTGGTCTTATTTAGCATGGCATGTGTTCTTCGTTTCTTTGAAGCACGAGAAACAGGATCAGGAATTTCACAAATGATCACACCTCTTCGATTGAGATGTGGTTTGCGAATCTTCTTGATATTCAAAACAGAACCCTCCTTTGGTGAATAGAGATGCTCCTAAGTAACTTTGTCAATAATTGGCCTTTCTATTGAATGACAAGGTTTGTGTGCTAGCTTCTTAGTTCTTTTAAGAACTCCTTCTTTTGAAGGAACCACTTCCTTTTGAGTTTCATGAACAACAGGATCTTGAACAAATTTCGTAACCTCCTTTTCCACTGCCACATGATCACACTTAGGTTGTGTAGCCTTCATGGATTTCTTTGAACCTTTACCATGTATCGAAGTACCATCAATTCCTTTAGAAAAAAAGCACCTGTTTGCATATCAGGTTTGACTGTTGACAGATAAGCAACAAGAACCAAATTAATTTGATCCACCTTCCGAAGCATTGCATCAGGAATTCGTGCCACATATGGAAACTACTCATGATCATCTTAAACAATTTTAGGATATTTATAGATGGAGAACTCCACTTTCACATCATTTGTTGGTACCATGATACTGTAACGCCCGGGTTTCAGGGCGTATCATTTTTTGAACTCACTGTGTGGTCAGGCAACATTCATGCTACTCGCCGAGTCTGTTCTTCACACTCGGCGAGTCCGTGCCATGCAATGACTCAATCTTGCTCAAAAAGGTCAGATCCAGTCCATTAATCCATAGATCCAGTCCCTCCAAGCTCATTTAGCACGTAAAGTTACAATCTTGATGCACATACAACCTCTATTTTGACGATATATGATGTTTTTGACTCAAATACCACAACACAAGGTCCTAGGCTCCATTGATATACATAAAGCTTGATGAGTGAGGCTCTCTGGACCTCTATGGATCCAGATCCATAACCTCAACACAAGGAGGGAACCATTGGGCATCAAATCATCCCATAAATGACCATAATAAGCCCTTAATCGCATAATGCTTCACCAAACAGAATATGGACCGAAATCATACCTCTAGATTGATGATCTAAGCTCCAAATCCACGAAATAGCAGCCTCCTTTGCTTCCTCTTGCCTAGAATCTCCTTCTTCTTTGCTAAATGGCACACACAAGGTCAAGAAATGCTCCTCTCTCTCCACAATCACTCAAGAACACAAGGGTCTCTCTCTAAGGGTTGGGTGAGCACAGATGACGGCCATAAGGCCCTTTAAATAGGCCTCAAGCCCGGGATTTTAGGGTTTCTCTACACAGCACAGACTCGCCGAGTCCATATCCTGGACTCGCCGAGTCCAGGCGCGATCCATTGACCAATTTCGTGTCCCTACTCGGCGAGTCTGAGCTCCAACTCGCCGAGTCCCCCTCACAGTTCAACAAAATTAAATTTACAAGATACCTGGTAAAATCCGGATGTTACAACTCTCCCCCACTAGAAATAGACTTCGCCCTCGAAGTCTCGCTCTAAAACAGCTCCGGATGCTGCTTCCGCATCATACGTTCCGGCTCCCAGGTCATTTCTGATCCTCTCCGATGTTGCCACTGAACCAATACCAAAGGTACCTCCTTGTTCCTCAAAATCTTGATCTTCCGATCCCTAATGGCCACTGGTCTCTCAGCATAATTCAGGCTTGCATCTACCTGAATATCCTCTAATGGAACCACTGCCGACTCATCGGCTATACATTTCCTCAACTGCGATAAATGAAAAGTGTTGTGAATCTACCCCAACTCTGTTGGTAACTCCAGCCGATAGGCTACCCGGCGTACCCTTGCAATCACACGAAATGGACCTATAAACCGGGGCCCCAATTTGCCCCTCTTCCTGAACCGAATCACTCCTTTCCAAGGAGAAACCTTCAGGAGAACGAAGTCGCCGACCTGGAATTCCAGCTCGGACCGGCGTCTATCCGCATAACTCTTTTGTCGGCTCTGAGCGGTCAATAACCTCTGTCTGACCAGCTGAATCTGCTCTGTCGTCTGATTCACGATCTCTGTAATGCCCATTACCCTTTGCTCAACCTCTCCCCAACAAATGGGAGTCCGACACCTCCTAC